TACAAGGAATCATAAATATGTTCTGCTCATATATAAAGCTGGCCACATGTAGGCACAATTGACTATAACAAATAAACTAAACTAAAACTTAATTAATCACCAGGAGATGTATTGCCAAAAATACAATATTTATTTTACTTAGCTCGACTCAGTATTTATGTATTGCTGGATAAAAAATTGAATTCTGTCATCATTAAGCCTTATTCCACTATTAACATTTCAAGGGCCTTGTTGTTATTAAATACAGTATATTGAAGTAACTTTTGTCTTTTCCAATGAAATGCAGATACTGACACCTCTAGAAAATAAATTTCTATATTATAAAAAGACATGTGATTAATTTGAATTGTATTAAGCTTATTTAAATAAGCATATTTTAAGTTTCAATTTCCATGCATGTATTTATTATAACAAATAAATTATATATACAATGGGGTCTCGACTTACGATGCTAATCCATTCCCAGAGACGGATCGTAAGTCAAAATATCGTAAGTTGAAGCGATTTTTCCCATAAAAAATAAAGGGAATCGAATTAATCCGTTCCCCACCCTCCAAAATATTATCATACAAATATATTTTATACTGAATACAATGTTTTTTCTAACTACAATACAGTACCTAAGTTTATCTTACCTTTATGGAGGGCTCTTGATGGCATGTGGAAGATGGTGATGAAGGGGGGGAGGAGAGGTGTTACTGTTTGGAAGGGAAGTCCCCTTCCATTATCACATCAGGCAGTGATGTTTTCTCTGGGGTACTCTATCTCCTACGTTTTGCCTGATTACCACTAGGACCTGGTTGTGGTTCAGTGCTTGTTTGTCTCACTACAAATTTGTCAAGAGACATTTGTTTTTCCCTTCGTTTTAACTTTTGTCTGTAATGATGCATCACTTTAGCACCCATAATGCCCTTTTTCTTAGCCAGTATGGCATATATCGTTGACTGAGATTTGTTGTACTGCCTAGCCAGTCCAACAACCCGCACACCATCTTCATAATTACGAATGATCTCTTGTTTCTGCTCTATGGTAAGTTCATCCTTACATGGGATCTCATATGTTGAGTCTTACCACTGACTTTCCAGGGACTCATGGCATGATATATAATAATTACTTTAATGTTCAAAATGCAAAAAATCACCACAAAAGCGAAATTTCTTATAGGCGCGATCGTCACTAAGCTGGCAGCTGTAGTAAACTAAGGCAGGTCGGCCGCGTGACCGGGAACCACGCGCTCGGTTGACCTGAACGTGTACCAATAAATATAGTAAGTCGACGACACCATCGTATGTCGAGTTGCATTTTTCGTTGAAATTTACATCGTTACTCGAAATTATTGTAAGTAGAGGCAATCGTAAGTCGAGATGCCACTGTATATATATATATATATATATATATATATATATATATATACTATACGCACTTCTAGCCAAGTTTTCATATTATAGGTTTGGTCATATATCTACGTTAATTTTAACTCCAATAAAAAAAATTGACCTCATACATAATGAAATGGGTAGCTTTATCATTTCATAAGAAAAAAAATATATATACTTGGCTTATTAGGCAAATCGGGCCATGCATAGTAGGCTATATAGGTACGACATATATATATACACATATATATATATATATATATATATATATATATATATATATATATATATATATATATATATATATATATATGTCGTACCTAGTAGCCAGAACGCACTTCTCTGCCTACTATGCAAGGCCCAATTTGCCTAATAGGCCGAGTGATTTTCCTTATTTTCAATAAATAGTTTCCAATTGCTTTTTTTGAATTCTTATCATTATATTATATCAAGAACATAAATTGTTGATTTAGTTATGTAAGTTTAGGTTAGGTTTAGATAGGTTAGGAAGGGTTGGTTTGGTTCGGTCATATAGTAACTAACTATGTTAGTTTAACCCTTAAACTGCGCAACACGTCATATGACGTTACCGAAAAAGTGCGCAACACGTCATAAGACGTGTTGGAGTACTACGCAAGATTTAAACGGCCCACAGATACACGGGGTTCACCACACCTTCATCAGGGCTCTTGTAAACAGACGCCATTTTAAAAAAAAATCGTGGGCCAAACTCCCGGGTGTTATTGGCCTCAGTATTGAGTGAGCAACCAAGCCTGATGCACGCAGCATGAGCTAACAGCACTGCTGTTCAGCTTGTGACCACAGCATCGCCTAAAAATGCCAAAATATACTTGTTCATGCTATTATGTAGCGATGATATTATTACAGAAGACCCCTGACTGTGATAAAACTGACCAGGGTTCTGATAATAGCAGGATTGTGGTGATATTTAGCGCTGTGCGCCATGGAGGGAGGAGTAATGCTGTGGGAGGGAGGGTGGTGGCGATGTCTTCTGACTGTGTGTGGCCACCTTTTATTGACTGCACTCAGCATTCCAGCTTAGTGGTTCACTATGGTGAACACAAATGTAGATACTTATATATAACGTGTGTATAGAGGGTATAAACAGCAAGAGAAGGTTTGGAGCCGCCATTTTGGTGAGGGCGGTGGCGTCGTCTGCACGACGCCACCGTGCAGACGACGGTGTTGTTTACTGATTACCACGATGGTCTTTGGGCATCATACCAGTTTATTTGTACAAGTATGGTGAATAAAACTGGTAGATATTTATATATAATGTGTGTATATAGCGTAATAACACCACACAGTATTGTTGGAGGAGAAATATTAGTGCGTCTGGCCTTGAGGGCGGTAGCCATCAGCTGACTGTGTGAGGTCCTACGTCTTTGTGCCTTTACTCACCATACAAGCTTAGATATACAGTTATGGTGAACAAAGCATGTAAATACTTATATATAACATCTGTATATAAGATATATAGCATAATAACACCACACAGTATTGTTGGAGGAGAAATATTAGTGCGTCTGGCCTTGAGGGCGGCAGCCATCAGCTGACTGTGAGAGGTCCTACGTCTTTGTGCCTTTACTCACCATACAAGCTTAGATGTACAGTTATGGTGAACAAAACATGTAAATACTTATATATAATGTCTGTATATAAGATATATAGCATAATAACACCACACAGTATTGTTGGAGGAGAAATATTAGTGCGTCTGGCCTTGAGGGCGGTAGCCATCAGCTGACTGTGTGAGGTCCTACGTCTTTGTGCCTTTACTCACCATACAAGCTTAGATGTACAGTTATGGTGAACAAAACATGTAGATACTTATATATAACGTCTGTATATAGTGAATTATAGCAAAAACAGTATTGTGGGAGGAGAATGTGGGCGAGTCAGATGACTGGAGGGAGGGCGGGAGTGGCTGGCTGGTACACGGCGGTCATTCCTCGTTACTTTTTGACTCATAATAGCTACTTAGTGGTTCGTTATAGTGAACAAAACATGCAGATACTTATATATAACCTGTGTATATAGTGTAATAACCGACAAAGTATTTGTTCACTGATTGATGAACATAATTGAATCAACAATATGCACACCATATTTTTGAGTACAGCAATGATTCACTCATTTTATTATATAAATATATCAAACTACACACTATTGAATAATATTACAGCAAAAAAACTATGAAAAATCAGAGACATTGAAATAATTAGGTAATTATCTCTTTGTGGCAACTCCGGCCTGACAGCTGGCGAGCAACAAATCGCCTGGGACGCATGCTGAGTCAGCGCCTATAATTTGCCAGACTTCCCCACCCAATAGCGGGCAATATATGCCACTTACTATTTTTTTATTATTTTTCCCGTGATCAGTGAACACAAATTAACAGGTTAGGAAGAAAAAATAATTTTATTTTTTTCAAAATGACACGCCTGTGGGGATGACAGGATATTAAACCCTGAGCATGTTAAGGGTTAAGGGTTAAACTCAAATTAAAAAAAATGAACTCAAACATAATGAAATGGATAGATTTATCATTTCATAAGAAAAAATAAGGAAAAATATATAAATTCATGAAAACTTGGCTTATTAGACAAATCGAGCCTTGCATAGTAGGCCAAATAGCGCATTTTGGCAACTAGGCACAACATATATACATATATATATATATATATATATATATATATATATATATATATATATATATATATATATATATATATATATATATATATATGTCGTACCTAGTAGCCAGAACGCACTTCTCAGCCTACTATGCAAGGCCCGATTTGCCTAATAAGCCAAGTTTTCCTGAATTAATATATTTTCTCTAATTTTTTTCTTATGAAATGATAAAGCTACCCATTTCATTATGTATGAGGTAATTTTTTTTTTATTGGAGTTAAAATTAATGTAGATATATGACCGAACCTAACCAACCCTACCTAACCTAACCTAACCTATCTTTATAGGTTAGGTTGGGTTAGGTAGCCGAAAAAGTTTAGTTAGTTAGGTTAGGTAGGTTAGGTAGCCGAATAACAACTAATTCATGAAAACTTGGCTTATTAGGCAAATTGGGCCTTGCATAGTAGGCTGAGAAGTGCGTTCTGGCTACTAGGTACGACATATATATATATATATATATATATATATATATATATATATATATATATATATGTCGTACCTAGTAGCCAGAACTCACTTCTGAGCCTACTATGCAAGGCCCGATTTGCCTAATAAGCCAAGTTTTCATGAATTAATTGCTTTTCGACTACCTAACCTACCTAACCTAACCTAACCTAATTTTTCGGCTACCTAACCTAACCTAACCTATAAGATAGGTTAGGTTAGGTTAGGTAGGGTTGGTTAGGTTCGGTCATATATCTACGTTAATTTTAACTCCAATAAAAAAAAAATCACCTCTTACATAATGAAATGGGTTGCTTTATCATTTCATAAGAAAAAAATTAGAGAAAATATATATTTCATGAAAACTTGGCATATTATATATATATCGGGCCTTATATTATAGGCTATATATATATATATATGGCTATATATACGATATATATATATATATATATATATATATATATATATATATATATATATATATATATATATAATTATTTCAATACATATTAATACTACTGAAATGTTCATACTATAGTATACTTCAATGAATTTGAGCATTAAATATATACAATTTAAAAAATCAATATATATTTCGTAACATTTTCCCTGAAGATAGTTGTTCTGACTGTATGTAAATATTCTGTCAAATTAAATGACCTGACACCATAACACTTGACATGTTTATTCTTGGAGACCCATTTAATTAATAATAACAATATTTTTCTTAACAAAAATAAATATATAAGAACTAACTTTTTTTAAATAATTATCTTATAATGAACAAGAAACTATTTGAGTTAGATTATCCATTTCAGAATTATATGAGAATGTAGACAGCATTCATGACAGTCACAGTAATATATAAACTTTTGTTAAATTATAATTAAATCTATTCATATTAAAAAAAATCATTTAATGTTTGAAGTAAAGAAAGTTTCAAACTTTCTGGTAACTAGCAAAATCTTACCATTCTGCACAACTTTCCATAAAAGTAGGTGCTTCCAAAAATTTCTGGAATTTAAGCTTATTTAAAGAATTAAATGTAAACTTTCTTCAACTGATTTGCATACTGTTCTAAATGCCAACAGGTTATTCAAGGAAGCAACAGTAATGGGCCACATGGCTAAAATTCCTGAGGAGTAAAACAGAATAGACTAAGGGGCATATGGAGACCAGATACTAAACTTGAATATAAAATCAGTACTGTATATACACAAGACATACAGTATACAGAGATTTCTCCCCATTTTCTTGGCACCACCGTTTAAATAAAAATTATGGAAACTTACTACTTTTATTCACACGATAAATAGTTAGCTTTCACTTAAAATCAATATTTTCTTTGGAGATGATTTGTGAAAAAGCAGTCGGCTCCTTCACCCACAAAAATGGCCTTGTGAAACATTTTTATACAAATTCTAAATACTGGTACAGTACAGAAAAACAAAATAAATTTATAGATTTTGCTGATACTACCAGATAAATTTTATATTTTCTGAAATGAGTTACAACAACCCACTTCCTGGCATAACCATTAAGTTGTAACTGTTGGCACAAAAAGAAGCAATGATAAAATAAACATTGCTGACTACAAGCAAAGACTACGAATTAATTACACAAATCAGAAGATGTACACAACCCTTTTCATGACTGCTATGGAAAACAAGAATTTGGTGATGAAAGCATGTACACTGTGTTATGCATGATTATGTCCTAAAAGCTATAGCACTGTACATATGTAGATAGATGGGTGTGCTTAGCACATACCTAGCATAGTGACCCTTAAACCACATTTATCACTATGGCAAATAATGACCACAAGGGAGCAGCAATGCCGAGAGAAGCTCTTGTTTGCAACCTTCAACCATGTGACCCGTATCAGTCCAGCAGCACAGACTTAGGGCACCACTATGCACCTAATACCACAACCTCAATGTCTGTTGTGTTTACATCAAGAGCAATTTCCTAGAGCAAATTTTACCTAATGGAACCTTTTATTATTTTATGCTACCATCTAATTTAACATTTGTTGCAAAGCACTTGTATTAAATCACTGTCACTTCTCAGTCAATTAATATGACAATGAATGCATAATGAGTTCTTGCTGTAAGCATCATTTGGCATGAACATGTCACATAAAATGAGTCTCGGAAGCAAGAATCTGATTATTTATTGGTGAACCAAGAAAATATTTTCTGTCTTGGCATGGAGTATATTTTGAGGTAATTTGGAAAATTAGATAAATTAAATAGAAAAAAAGAAGGAAAAAGTCGATTCACTCCAAAGATAAGGCAGGAAATTATAAGTGTTAAGGAAGAAGACAAACCTTGCCATTTATCACATCACTTTCTCCTTTTAACAGAAGTAAACTTGATTACATAGACCTTACCCCATTCAGGCTGTGAGAGTTGCATATTAGGATGAATGAAGAGAGCAAAAAGTGCTGCCAACAATGTAGACAAATACCAGGATGTGAGAAGACTATTAGTGTTTAACACTTTATCTGTAAGGACTTGATCAAATCTTACAGACAAAACACTGTCTACAAATCTAATCTAATCTCATCTTGATGTTTTCTATGCATATTTGTATACATACTAGATTGAATGTATTTGAGAATAAAGTTAATGTGCTGGACATGCACTGTTAAAGTTAAATTTAAGTCAACTCATTAATACTATTAAGACTTAACTGCTCTTCCTCACAAGTATGAAGAGGGAGTAAAGTTGATAGACAGCAACTTAGTCAAAGGCAATGAACGTGACGCATCTTGCCAGAAGTATGCTTCATGCTCACGGCACACCAGGACTATTGTAAACAATGTTACTGCCTCAATATACATAAATACCTCAAAAAACAGACAGAAAATGATGGAAAAAATCTATATACTAAACATAAAACTTTGGCATTGTATTTAGTAATATACTAAATATATATCTTTATTAAAAGTTTGCAAAATAGTGCTCAAAAATCCAAGAGCTTTAGATCAATAAAATTACATCAAGACATCTATAATCAGCAGTAACCATGGAGTGAAAAAAAGGGATTGGAGGAATATTGTGGGCCCAGAACTGCAGAATTGCTTCACTTCACAGCAACAACTGCCATTCACCCGCGAGGTTTTATCTTCAGCATTGGCACATGATAGCTGTCTTAAAACAATGATTCATATTGCATCAGAGCTTGCATATGAATCCCCTTGCATAATGAGATAATACTGATAGATGCCATCTGCAGTGTTGATATCCACAGCATAGAATGCAAACTATTATCAGCAAGCATTTCTTCTGTGCTATTTAAGAATATTTACACCATTCTGAGTAACAAAATCTAATAAATAACACTTAAATAATATAAAATAGAATGACCAGAAAAAGATTAGCATTTGAGTACTGTACATGACACATGCTTCGCTGCTAAGATCTGGTCTTGAGCGCCTCCATTAGGAAACTTCAGTGTACAGCAATAATCTGCCATCTAAACCACTAGAACACTACTTTGGTCACTTAGATTGGCCTAAGTGGGCCTTTCCCTATACAGGCGTGACACTAGTCCATAAATCACGAGATATATCTGTGGTACAGTAATCTCCCTGCTGTCTACTTACTAAACTTTCTTTCTCTTTTTCTTTATTGTCTTTATGTACTAAAGACATATACCTTGAAGAGACATACTGAGCAGGGGGCAGTAAAGGGTCCTCTCCCACTTCACTTTCCTCAAGCATCACATGATTTAAGTTTAGAGCGTCCAAGTTGGAATGTGCAGAGATCATGCCATCTTCACTCAAACTTGTCGTGAGGGGTGGAATATTCATCACCATATTACCACTCATTGACCGCTTTCTACTTGAAGATGCCACATTCTGCAGCCGATTGTTGATTGATAAGGATAATTTTCTGGTCTTGTCTGGAATTCTCATTTCAAGTGATAACGTATCCTCAATCTGCACTGAAGACTGGGGTCCATCTAAGCACGGCGAAATCAACCGTGGATAATTAATTAGGTGTTCAATTATTTGCAACACCTGTGGCCTTCTTAGTGGATTGCGATGCCAGCAAGTCTTCAACAACACATCTCTAAAGGAATAAAATTACTTTATCAAATGATGACCAAATTACACATTGGAAAATGAAAAACAACAACATTTCAGTCCGTCTTGGACCAGTATCAAATCATGTGATAGAGGAGAGGAAGGTACAGACAAATAAATAAGGTAAGAGAGTGAGATGAAAGGTAAGGAGCAGGTAAGAGATAAAAGTAAGAATAAGATGAAAGGCAAGAATGGAATGAGAATAAGAGGAAGGCAAGAATAAGAAAAGGGGTAAGAATAAGAGAAAGTTTAAGTGTAAAACTTTATTAAAGTCATATACAATAATTTAGCTATGATGCAATAATAAATAGGTCGACATATATATTTGTTGATACCTTGTTTTCCTAGTGTCCATAACAGCAAGGTATTTCTCTCAATTTCAACTCAATTTCTCTTAGATCACATAAACTGGAATGTAAATACAAGGCACTGGAATGCTGGGCTGTACAAATAGCATATTAATGTTTAAACGTGAAGAAAGAGATTTACCAGTCTGGCCAATGTAAACACGTGTACACTCATTTTATTATGTCAAAGACATAATAAAAAGGAAGGTGGCGAGGTATACAACAGGCAACGGAACAATTAATACCGCAATACCTGTACTTTCCAATAAAATTGTTCTACAGAAACGTCTTCTCCATGGCCTACAAAGCAGAGGAAAGAGGTGGAGGCCAAGACCGTCAGTAGTTTCAAAGCGTTATATGACAAAGAGTGCTGGGAAGACGGGACACCACAAGTGTAGCTCTCATCCTGTAACTACACTTGGGTAATTACACTTAGGTAATTACAGGGGTTACTATAGGCCATTGCTCCCCATGCCTCTCTGAGGGGGCCAGGTTCTGGCTTGTGGTCCCCAGTAGGCCCACAGATCTCCATACACATGACTGATGCCAAAGTCTGGCATTAGCATATCAGCCTAGTAAGCTCCGGGGAGCCGAAGGGGCTTCCCTCAGAAAAAGAGAAATAAACGGGGAAAAAATTGAGAAAATTCAAAAAAATCTAGGGGGAAACAATCGCCAGGTTCATAACATAAATGAGACAGTATTTTCCACTTGTTATGTTGATGATCAATGTTGATGAAGTATAGTTATTTACATGGAAGAGGTGGTGGTTGATGGTGTTGGGTTGACTGAAGTGGAGAATAATGGTGATAAAGTAACCTCAGATGTTGAAGCATTTGGGTCAACATGTGATGAGTCAGGTGCAGGGGAGGCAATGCCAGCTTTCTTGGAAGCCTTTGCAAAAGACTCTTTAATTAACATTTGTTTCATTTCCTTTGATCTTGCTTTAATAAACTTCATATACAAATTGTACTGGCTAATCATGCCCTTAGTTTCAAACTCACTGTAACTAGTGTCCATAA